TCTCAGAACTTGGTATTTATCGAGAATAATACGATGTTCATTGACTTCAGAGCCGCTTTTACAGTTTTTAGTTTTTCATTGCATGTAATCAATTCCTGCAATTAGAATTTATAGGAATAAGAATGTGCAGGTCCCGATGAAGGATATTTCACACCGAAGCGTAATGATGAAAAAACTGTGTTTTGCTTTTCATCAACTTTTTATAGTTCAGTAGAAGAGAGCAGCATCATAATATTATGATTCATTTATGATGCATAAAATACCGATTATCCACCAGTCTCCAATAGAATTCCTGCAGACATCAGAGCAATTGGAATGAAAATAATGGAAAAAAAACCGGACTCATTTTCTGCAACACAACAAAAAATTGCGACAGCGATCAACATTACACATTCTAGTCCGTGGAGGAGTATTGAAAATTCCGCGGTTTTTATTGTTGATTTGATTTTCATTAATTTTTCTGTGAATGAAATCCAGAAATTCATCTGCTTTTATGCTCTGGGAGGAAGTACCCCCCTCTATCTGTGCCGTAGGACCCTTGGAGGCAGCTAATCTAAAGTCAAGGAGACTTCAGACCAAAAAAATGGCATTCACTTTGAAAGTCAGTCAACTGCCCGAAAAAGAATAATTTCCATACTGATTCTATTGATCCAACTGATTTTCACCTCCACTATTTATATTGGAAATAGTTGCATGTATTACAATATTCTTATATAAGGATGAGAATCGCCAATGCTTGTCCATATTGCTTTGCTGGATGATTTTGCGCAATAGATGTTTTACAATTCAAGTAGAAATCTTGCATCTGATAAACGCATAATGATTATGGTTTCTCCACATAGGTTCGTGATACTATTATTGTTATATATCATCAAACGTTGAGATGATGTGAAGTCATATATTCTTGGAGTTTTAGGGAAAAAGTGATTGTTTCGTTTTTCGAGTGGAATTTATTCCTTGTACCAACCAAAACGATTTTATTCAAAGCTGAATGATACGGAAAGGAACCAATTCACATTGAATCTATATTCAAACGTTGAATCATTTGCTGAGTATTGAGAGAAATGAAAACAATCTGGCTCTTTCAAAGGTCTATTATATTGATTTATCACATGAGAGCATTTGTATGAGGCAGTAAATGTTATGATGTACAGTGGAGTAATCGTGATGTTTTTCTATTATCAAATGATGTTCACCCATAGAGAATTGAGTGGTGACAGGGCACTCATCAGTAACATCATCAATGTCGTCATTGTCAGGAATGCCAATTCGGTTGCATCTCCAGCTAACCTGAAAAGAAACATGTTTAGATGAAACTGTAGGCGATATAAGAAATGAACACCTCCGTACTTTGGAACACCTTCAGAGGAGAAAAAAAGTGATGTGCTGAATCTGATACTACCAAATAAAACAGTTTGTATAGAATAACAAGATTCACGATCTCTCAATGATTCATTTTATTTCCTGCCACGTGTCATATTGAAATTGTGGAAACTCAAGAACATGCAGCCAATAGTGAAAGTGAAGAAATAAGCACATTCAAGGAAACCATAACAAATCACATCGACCAAAAATCATGACGATGTGAGAAATTCTTCACATATTATCAATATGAGTGTTCTTACTCACACTGAGATATTCGATTCAATGTACGGTTAGCACCGTCCTTCAATAAACGTTAGTTTCCAAAGTACTTTAGATCTTGTACAAATTCCCACCTGAAAGCCACAACAGATAGCACCTTACAAATAATTCAGCACCTGACACCGAATATATTCGTCAGACTTATAAAGGTTAAGGTCCCTCGTGCTCTTCCAGGACCTGAACTGAACAACTCTTCAAAATGTATTTTCGGAAAATTCTACCATAACCCATTAGGGAACTTTTTTGTTGAATGTATGTATGTTCCTGGATTGAAGCATAATGATGTCTTTGATTACGAATGTTTTGACCTTTTTGTAAATACTCGACGAGTATAGCACTGATGATGGCTTTTTAGCCGGAAGCGCTTTGCGATTTGATAATAAATTCTTACACGATATACAAAATCTTCTTATTGTACTGATTTTGCTGACGCCATTCGCCTGGTAGCTGATACCACACTCACTGATGCTAATCAGAATACCAAAGAGAAGTCGTCGACCTTTCACTATTCTGTAGATACTTGGACGAGTTATTTTCTTTAGTGACTTATTCTGTCATCGTTCCATCACTAGCATAACCAATACGAACTCGACAATATACAGGGTGTCCGCTAAAAGGAGGTCAATCCATTAACCACATATTCCTTGAACAAAAACAATATGAGTTTCTAAATATCATTTTTCATTTTAGCCCTTCATATTCGGTATACAGGGTGTCAAAGTTGGAAATTAAAAACTGTTTTTTTCTAATTACTCGCGTATTTGATAAGATATTAATCTCAAAATTGGTACATTACTTCAGCACAAAGAGTTACATCGTGTGAGGAAAACAAAACAGAAAATAACTGTCAAATATTCAAGATACTGGGGGTCAAGTTCACACTTACCCCCATATTTTGTTTGTACGTGCGCTAATGACTTCCTATCTATTTTCCTTCAAGTGTTCAATCATTTTTGAGTATTTTTTGTTTCCTGTAAAATTTCGATTGAATCATTTGTTTTTAAGATAATTCGAAAAGTACTGGTTATTGTTTGATGCCTATGCGGCTTAGGTAATCTCATAATGTTCACATACTCCTATTTATTTCGTCGAAATTGAAATAGGGCGTATCTTTTTACGTACGAAAAGGTAAATATGGAAATACCGGGTGCTCGGAGCAAATGTACTAAAATAATTTTTACAAAAAAAAAAAAATTTAAAAAGTGTAAAAATTATTTTAATACATTCGCTCTGAGCATCCGGTATTTCCATATTCACCTTTCCGTACGTAATGAGATACGCCCTCTTCCAATTTCGACGAAATAAATAGGAGTATGTGAACATTATGAGATTACCGTAAGCCGCAAGGCATCAAACAATAACCAGTACTTTTCGAATTATCTTAAAAACAAATAATTTTATCGGAATTTTACAAAAATCAAAAAATACTCAAAAATGATTGAACACATAAAGAAAAATAGATAGGAAGTCATTAGCGCACGTACAAAAAAAAATATGGGGGTAAGTGTGTACTTGACCCCCAGTATTTTGAATATTTGACAGTTATTTTCTGTTTTGTTTTCCTCACACGATGTAACTCTTTGTGCTGAAGTAATGTACCTATTTTGAGATTGATATCTTATTAATTACGCGAGTAATTAGAAAAAAACAGTTTTTAATTTTCAACTTTGACACCCTGTATATCGAATAAGAAGGGCTAAAATGAAAAATGGTATTTAGAAACTCATATTATTTTTGTTCAAGGAATATATGGTTAATGGATTGACCTCCTTTTAGCGGACACCCTGTATAGTAAATGTTGGGAATATATAAATTTCAAATATCAGGCCAATAAATCGATGTCAACATTCTGGAATCTTGATGTTATGTTGAACCGGTTTCTTATAATTCTCATAATTATGTAAATTGGATATTGAATTCATACTTGCCTACTATATTGGCCAAAATGAAAATGTAATCATCCTGCAATATTATCTTTATATCGAATTATAATATTGCATCAATATTGTATTTCGTTTTTGTTAAAATATTCAAGTTCAAAATTCGAATCCATATTAGCCTTATTGAAAGAAAATCAGCGATATTGCTTCAATAAAACATTAGCATAATGTATCAGATCCATTTTCATTCTCTGTATCCCAGAATACCAAGTACATTCATTGAATGCTGCAGTATTTGATGCCCTTGAGCAATCGTTTGTTGGAGACGTGCTAGTGGCGCCAGCTGTTCAAACGTCGCTCAAATACTAAAATAAATATTACTTATTTCGATTTGATATAGGAAAACCAATATCAGTGCAATATTGGTTCTGACATATATCATTTGTTATATCATCGAGTATAGTGTAAATAATCAAGGGTTATATCTATTTGAAGTGGGTCTCATATTGATAAACTAATATTGGCCTAATGAAAAATACAAATATGACAATAATATTTGTAGCAAATATCATGCAATATGCAAAAATCATCCCAAACATGATATAGGAGGAATATTATTTCAATAATATGAATCCGATACTGAAATCAATTCAAAAATGATAAAGATGTGATATCATTTTCATTATATCGAATTGATATTAAAATGCCAATATCAGTGCAATACTACTGAACAATGAAATGCAATATCCACAAACCATCATAAATCTGATATTGATAAAATAGTTTTGCCCAAGATCGATTCGATATTGGAAATACAATATCAGCCTATCATGAAAATTGACATATTTTAATCGTTAATATTTTGCCAATATCAAATAGATATTGGCAGAAATATATCGGCTGGTCACAATATTTTTATGTTATAACAACATTGTCACTAGATTGATGAACTAATATTTGAAAGATATTGAAAAGGTAATATCAGTGCCTTATTGCTAGACAATGAAATGCAATATCCACTAACCATCATGAATCGGATATTGATGCGATATTATTTTTTTCCAAGATTGATTCGATATTAGAAATACAATATCAGCCCCACATGAAAATTGACATATTGAAATCGTTAATATTTCGCCAACATCATATGAATATTGGCAAATTGATATCGGCTGGTCACAAAATTTCAATATTATTACAACATTGCCACTGGATTTATTATTGAATATCTATATGATATTAAAGAGCCAATATCAGTGCAATATTTCTGGACAATGGAATGCTATATTCCATAACCATCATAAATCGGTATTGATGCAATATTTTTTACCAAGATTGATTCAATATTGGGAATATACGAAGTCAGTCCATCATAGAAATTGAAATATTGTAATCGTTAATATTTCACCAATATCAAATAAATATTGGCAGATTGATATCGGCTGTTCACAAAATTTCAATGTTATCATAACATTGGCACTGGATTGATGATCGAATATTGAGATAAAAAATTGGTTCGATACTGAGACAATCTAGTAATTCTATATTCAATATTCGAATATTGGGCTAATGGAAAACCAAGTTCTAGCCAATATGAGCTCCAAGATAGTGATAGGAACAATGATGTTCCTTGGATTCAAATAGAACTAATAATATATACAGCTACTTTTCATATTGGGATGTAGGTAATAGTGAATGTTCATTGAAAGTTCTCACCTTGGCATACTCAAGAATGAAACTGTCGAGAGATATCCACCAATCAATGCGTTCACGACTTGTATTGTAATGTACTCCCAGTCATGAGGAAATAATACTGGCAGGTGTTTCTTTGATGAGTTGAAGAACAAGTAGAGTGGTGAAATGATATAGCTGTGTGATAAGCTAGCGATGACATACCATTTCACATTATCCGGCTGCAAACCAATAAAATTATTATTATAATGAATACCCAACTTTTCTGATCTGATTGAATCATATATCTTATTATTTGTACAAGTTTCGTTCACACATTATATAATTATTGATCCTGAGCTACTCCACTATTTGAAATAGATTTCAATCAAAAATTTTATACAATATCATGTCAATCATGATCAAAATTGGAGCGATAGAACCGGTGCGGAATGGAAAACAGACAAACATCGAAAGATGGAATGGGCGTGTACACCTTAGTAGAACTTTCAACTCAAACCATGTTTATAATGATCCTTTTATACATAAATAATAATTGACGACATAATTCGATCAAAAAATTTACTGGAATGTTTTATTTTTGGACATAAATGACAGTACCTTCTGAAAACGGACCCTCTCATGACGTAGAAACCTCATCTCGCCATAGTCAAAAGAAAATACCAAATGCCCGACGCAGACTGAGGCAAATGATATATTAGTTCTTTCAACTGTGATCTCGCACTAATTCACTCTGTCAAAATTCATGTATCATATGTCTCTGTCTGGAATAGTCTTGTTTCAGTATTAGGGTTTTGACGTCACATCATCGCCTCGTTTTCAGAGGTCCGAAAAATCGGGGATTTCAATAATTTTTTATAAAACGTAGGGAGCTCACAGCAAGAAACGGTTTGAGGTGGTGAGCTAGTTTGGGTGAGCTCTATCGAATTATCAAATAAAATTTTTTGTGATATAAGCCCATTGTCAACTACCTGTATAATCAGTAGTGATAATGAGTTCATGACATGAAAATGAAGTGATGACCAATACTGGCCCTTTGTCAACTCAAATTCTCATTTTTGCAAAATTATTCACATCATAAAGTCTTCTCAAAAAATGCTCATGATCAATATTGGGAATGAATCACAGCGAATGGGATGATAATTACCGTTAGTATTGGCCTTGCTAGCATCCTAGCGAATAAACCGACTACACCAGGAATCAGGAAACATATCACAGGGGTGAAGTACTTATCTGGAAAAAATAATTATGATCCAGGATGAATCTGATTGGAATCAACAAACTCTGTATACGGATTCCTGATCTCACATTCTGGGGTGAAATGTTTTTGTCAACGTCAGTCCTAAATTTTATACCCTATTCAAGATATAGGGTGTCAGAGGTCAGAAAACATGGTTTATGTTTATTCTTTCGGAGAGCCCATAGAACAGGAGTTGAACTCAGAACCTATACTATTCCAGAATAATCATGGTAGTTACTGGAAGTTTAAATTTATGAATCCGGTGGCGTTGAGACGGTCGTATGTATCCACATCAGTTAGGCTTATTGATACTCAACTATCATATATTAACATTTCACATGCCTTGTATAAAGGTTCCTGAGATATTTGCGAAAAACTGAAGATATGTCATGAGGTAATATTGCAACGTGTTCGAGATGAGAAATGGAAATGCCTGATTTTGTTTATGTAATCAACAACTAGTATGTATCTTGGACAGGTTGGTCGATAGGAACTGTTCATCTTGGAATAACATGAAAAATAAGAAGAAAGTATGTCGATTTACTTCTGACTATGTTTCCAATGTTCTCAACATTCAAAAATACTCAGGCGGTTGGGAAATATTTTTCGTAAGGAATCAATTATGCGCCTATGGCACGCAGCAAATTGAGTCCGCTCAATACTACGTCAAGGCATATCTCAAATTTTTCGCAAATATATCAGGAACCTCTACATTCTGGCATGACGTTTATTGGAACTATTAGGATAGGTGTCGATGAACTGATGTCATACACCAATTTGATGAATCGTCGGCTCAATGAGAAATATGACGAAAAATTTGGCGACATACGATCGTAACTTCGCCACTGTTTTACGATATTCGAAATTGGAAACTCCATACAGTCGCGTATACAGCTTCGTTCCATGAAGGAAAGGGGGTAATTCGTGGTGCCTTCAAGTTATTGATAGTCAGGTTTGTCAACGCATTTTCATACAGAGGTGGCAGAAAATGATTTTGAATCCAGTTGAAAATGTATTATTCCTGAGGGCAGCAGGAATCACATTATTGTTGATGGTTTTTTCAATATCTCCTACTCGCGACGGTCCAACAGACTGACAACGCAAGTTTCAGAAGACATTATCTAGAAGCCATAAAAAAATCGATTACAATGTTGGTTGTCATACTTTTTAATGTTTAGTTCCGATTTTGTCGCTGGAAAAGTTGAAGCATACTTTTTTCGCTATCATAATGGCAAAATCACACCGGCCCACGGGATTTCATATACATAAATTGCATTGTCAAAACGGAAGACATACTGGGACGATGCAATTCATATTTTCATTCTTTGGGAATAGAAAGATTAGATACTATTCACCTGTTGAATGAAACCAGATTCATCTTGTGAATCTTAATATTGATTTTGATTGCAACACTGACTTTTCTTCGATCGTCTCGGAGGAGGGTAATTACCTCAAAAACCTCCCCTCCCTTGTATACGCGCCTGACTCGATGTGAATACATCAATTGATCTGGGTTGACAAAGTTAACTTTATTTCTACAAGATTTCCGGAGAATTTAACATGAACCTTAATTGGTTCCGTATATTTATCACCCTATACCTCATCAGAGAAAATGCATTTTGGGACATACGTCAATAAACATTTTTCGCTTAAGTAATAATATAATGGTAGGAATCCGTATACGGAGTTTGTCGGTCCTATTTCGACTGACCCTAAATACTTAACTGGTTTATTATTGTACTTAAGGGTAGTTAAATGGTCGGTTTCTGAATCAACTACAGGATTTTTTACCATCGTTCAATACAAACCGCAAATATTCAAGTGATAGGGAAATCTAAAATCACAAGATGTCTCAGAATAACGTTCGTATGTATACTCTTGGAGGTGATTCTGCAGATGAAAATAAGAAAAAATGTTGCTAACATGTGTCCGAGAATGCTTTCTAAGCCGAACCTTATGAAGGTAGGCCGTTAAATGCAGTTTGCTAAAATTTTCTCCGTTATTATTGAACCTAAAATTACGAAATTCAGTATACAGGCTGATTCACGGTGGATGGCACATTAGACGTTTCTGGTGAACCAGACAACGGATCATTTTGAAAATTCAATGGAGGGCATATTCGAACATTCTCTAGCCAACTAGAATATTTTCGACAATGCGGTGTTGCCGCTTCTATTAGAAAGCAGTAGCAACTTTGATTTTTCAAATGAAACACTCTGTATTTTATTGCATTTTTAGATTCTCCCTGAAGAGCAGATTTCATCGATGTATCATACTTGGGGTCTAGCGGAAATGATTACAGAGATATAGGGTGTGAAAAATCGACATTTTTCAACTTTAGGAATTTTTTTTGTCGAAACTATTCGTTATTGGTCAAAACGGCTCACATGTCCCTATCTCAACTTTTGATCAACTATCTACTAAAATTTAATTGAAACAAATACAGGGTGGTGCAGAATTCAGAATCTTGATCACCCGGTATATGTCCTAATTAAATATCAGTAGATAGTTAATCAAAAGTTGAGATAGGGACATGTGAGCCGTTTTGACCAATGATGAATAGTTTCGACACAAAAAAATTCTAAAGTTGAAAAATGTCGATTTTTCACACCCTATATCTCTGTAATCATTTCCGCTAGACCCCAATTGTGATACATCGATGAAATCAGCTCTTCAGGGAGAATCTAAAAATTCAATAAAATACAGAGTGTTCCATTCGAAAAATCAAAGTTGCTACTGCTTTCTAATAGAAGCGGCAACACCGCATTGTCGAAAATATTTTAGTTGGCTAGAGAATGTCCGAATATGCCCTCCATTGGATTTTCAAAATGATCCGTTGTCTGGTTCACCAGAAACGTCTAATGTGCCATCCACCGTGAATCAGCCTGTATAATGGTTCAATATTCAGGGATGTGCGACACTCGTAACAGATGTTATGAAAATGACCCATGTTTTTTGTTCCAGAATTCATCACATATCCACGACCAGAAAATGATTCTTCGAACTCTTTCATATAAAAACGGTAAAATTGTTAGAATGCCATTGAACGAACCGTTTACGAGCAAAGAAACATTTTTCATTTTGATGTTCAAAAATATTCACATTGTGAAAAAGTGTGAAATTCAGTCAATTTCCATCGCGTATGTTTATTCAACAAATCATCATCCAGGTTAACTGTAATCAAACAAAACTAACTGGAAATGTGAAATTTCAATAATTATCAAGTTCTTCTATTTTCATCATACGAGCAGGCGCTCAAAACAGTATTATCTTGACGATTCGTTTGTATCACACTGGAAATAATATATTGATAACGTATTTTTATCACACGATATATGAAGGAAGGTATATTTATATCCATAAATGTACTCACTACTACTCTTTTTATATATACTATGAAAAGTGATGAAGCAAACGTCCAATTATCGACACCTTCAGAGGTTCTTGCTACTTCATAATAATATGAAAATATTAGTTATTCATGGTACTAGTGTGTTATGTTGAAAATAAGTCACGCGAGAATGATTATAATTTATACCACGAGGCCGTCAGGCTGAGTGATAATAATATAATATATAAATATACCGGGTGATACAGGAGACATGTTACAGCCTGTAGTCTTTTTATTTGGAGATAGACGAATTCGAAATTCACGAAGGTTACATTATCAATGATGGCGCTTCCCTTGAACCCAATGACAATAATTTTCTCCAACCACCAGTTTGATCGGAAGTAGACCCAACTTTGTTTTTCAGAAGGCATCCTGTATATTTCTGTAGCCTATCGTATTTGCCTTGAAAGTCTCTATTCAACTATGTATCACAGTTTGATATCCGTTCATTAATTAGCTGTCCAATTGCATTTCATTGAAATACATGAAGTTGGCTGTGGCCCGAATGTAATGACATTTCGATGCTTGATAGGCTTAGAAATATAAACATCATTACTTAGACAATGTTATCAGAATATTTCCCATACTCTCATCGATCCCAGAAGATTGCCGATAACTCCTTTTAAGATGTGAAGTATTCAAAAACAATGGATCTGCTAGTGATATACATAACTATAGAGTTATATGCATACAGAATCAAAATGCTACAATATTTGAAGCATCTTATTGTGTTAGATTGACCAAGTACTTTGAACACAGTCTCCTCCCAGCGAATCAGAATGGTTTTTGCAAGAACAAATCAACCTGCTCGGCAATCTCTGATTGCTTAGAGTTCATCTACGAGGCACTAAATGATAGAAATAATGTTCTATGACTTTTGATACTATCGATCATAATTTATTAATCATGCAATTAGAAGGGTAAGGAGTTAGAGGTGTTCCACTTCAATAGATTACATCATGTTCAACAAACATAGCCCAGACAACTGTAGTGAATAATGTGGAATCAGAATCAAGAGCAATAAATAAAGGGGTTTCACAGGGTTCAATCTTGGGACTACTACTGTTCATCAACTTACTGAGTGACATTGATGACACTTGTACCTCTGCAAATCAAACTATAATATATTATGCTGATGATACGAATATTCTGATGTCATACAACAACATTAACCAACCTACAAAATTGAGCAACAATGCATCTGAAGAAATAGAAAAGTATAGTCTTGAGATTGGTCTTATTTTGAATATGAACAAAACCAATTATATTCGTTTCCTGCCAAAAAACGTGAATCCACATTATGACCTATACCTAAAATTATCTGGAAAATCTATACAATCAGTGGAGACTATCAAGTTCTTAGGTTTTACTTTGGAAAGTAAGCTCACATGGATAGCACACATGAACACTGTATTTTCAAAACTAAGCACTACATGCTATGTAATAAGAAATCTGCGAGATACTTTATCTACAAAACATCCTGAAGTTACTCTATTTTGGGATCAGTCGACTCTGCAGTATATTCTGAGGGTCCTCTTGTCACTTTGGAAGGGTATTTGTAACACAAAGAAGGATAATGAGAACAATGTGTCATGCTCATCC